TGGGAGCGCCGCCACGCTTCCCAAGCGGCGCACTTATCCAGTGTGCCACCGGGCCGGCCCCTACCTACCAATCTTTCCCCAGCCCCCTCTCCTACCTCCCTTCCCCTGCCTCTGGTAATCGCTATTCAGAATCACCTCACTACCAATCTTTACCCAGCCCCCTCTCCTACCTCCCTTCCCCTGCCTCTGGTAATCGCTATTCAGAATCACCTCATTTTCTACACATTAACCAGCCTTCAACTGTGCATATTGAACTTTCCAGAAAGAAAAGGAGTACAGATTGTCCCCCAAGATCTTTTTTCCTGGTCTTGGTTGCAATTTGTGCATTGTCCTTATTACCTTGGTAGTGATGATCATAGAGAGGAGGTCATGTTGATTTCATTGGGATTTGGCAAAGAAGTCCACTGCCTGGTGAGTTTGGTGCCTCCAGGAGCAGGACAGAGATTGGAAGCACTGAAGCCTTTACTATGTACGTATTTTTTAATCCAGTATGAGTTCTTTCATGTCTTTTAAGACATCTGGATTCCTTACATTCATAGGGTTTCTCTTCAGCACGAGTTCTTTCATGTTTTCTAAGGGAACTATGACAGCTAGAGGCTTTACCACTTTCCTTATATTCATAGGGTTTCTTTCTGGTGTGAGTTCTTTCATGTACTCAAAGAGAAATAGAAAAACTGAAAGCTTTACTGCATTCCTTACATTCATTCTTCAGGATGAGTTCTTTCATGTTTTCTAAGGGAACTACAACATCTAAAGGCATTACCACATTTCTTACGTTCATAGGGTTTCTCTTCAGTGTGTGTCCTTTCATGTACTCAAAGAGAAATAGAAACACTGAAGGCTCTACCACATTACCTTATAGGGTTTTTCGCCAGTATGAATTCTTTCATGTTTACAAAGGGACCTGGGGTATCTGAAGGCTTTGCCACATTTTTTACATTCATAGGGATTTTCTCCAGTGTAAGTCCTTTTATGTGTTTGAAGAAAACTGAGAAAACTGAGTGATTTACCACATTTTTTACATGCAAAGAGTTTTTCTCCTGTGTAAGTTCTTTCATGCATTTGAAGGAAACTGAAACATTTCAGTGTTTTATCACATTGTTTACATTTATTTATCTTCTCCCCATATTCCTTACACTCATATGGTTTGTGTCCAGAGTAAGAAATGATGTGTCTATTAAGAAATCAATGACATATAAAGACACCTTCACACACACTGCATTCGAATGGTTTTACTGCAGTAGGAATTTTCTTCAGATTAAAATTTGGAACATGGCTTAAGATTTCTCCACACTGACTACCTTCTTTGCTTTCACACAGTCTCTCTACCACATAAGCTCTTAGAATTCTCCCAGAGATTTTGTACTGGTATTCAATGTTCAGGCCTTCCCATTTATTTCCTATGGAAGCCAGGTTTCTGAAGGTTTCCTGCCTCACATCTCTGTACAGATTCTTCTGGGAAGAATGCAAGAAAAGCCCACTTTTCCTGGGTGAAGTTCACAGCCACATCCTCAAAGGCCACTGAGTGCATTTACTGGCTTCTGGAGTGTCTCTGTATCCTATCTACAGATCTCCAAGTACCTGCAGGCCACATGGTTACAGAAGCCGCAGAAGAACCACCTGGGCCTCCTGAAGAGAGTACATGGAGCTGTGGAAACAGGGCCAAGTCTGGCAGGTACAAGAGACAAAGATCCCATGAGATTGTCTGGTTAACATATTCTTAATGATGAATCTAAAGTATTTGCTACTTCCTGCTCATCAGAGCCAATCAACATAATGTCATCAATGTAGCGGACCAGATTGATTCTTTATGGAATGTCAAGACAATCAAGATTTCTAAAGACTATTTTATGACACAGAGTATAAGAAGGGACCTAGCCTTAAGGCAATACTGTGAAGGTGTTCTGTTAGCCCTTACAGGTCAAAGCAAACTATTTCTGATGGTCCTTGCAAGTGGATATGGAGAAAAAGGTAGTACGAGTTTAATAGCTGCACACCAAGTGTCAGATGCATGTTGATTTTCTCCAATAAGATTCCACATCTGGCACAGCAGTTGAAGTTGTTTGTCATTGCTTAATTAAATTCATGATAGTCCATGGTCACTTTCCAAGATCCATTTGTGCATCTGCACAACTCTAACAGATGAGTTAAATGGAGATATCAGGACTCATGATTCATTGAAGTCTTTGATGTCATTAATCTCTGCAGTTCCCCCAGAGATGTGCATTGCTTCTAGATCATTATGTTGGTAGAGAGAGAAACGTCCAAAGACTTCTACTTAGTTCTCCCTACATTAATGGCCCTAATCATCTTCAGTAAGAGAGCCAATGCAGGGATTCTGTCACTTGCCAAGTATGTCTACTTCACTTTACATTTCAAAGCTGGGGAAACAACCACAAAGTGGATTGTGTACCAAATGGGTCAGATGTCAATCAGCCTTTGGCTAAGACCCAACCTATGTTTTCCATAATGGTTGCACTAATTTACATTCCCATCAGCAGTGTTCAAGAGTTCCCTTTTCTCCACATCCTCGTCGACATTTATCTTTCATCTTTTTGATAATAGCCATTCTAACAGATGTGAGGTAATATCTCATTGTCATTGTAATTTGAATTTCCCTGATGATTACTGATGTTGAGCAAATTTTCATATACCTGTTGGATATTTGTGTCTTATTTGGATAAATGTCTATTCAGATCCTTTGTGCATTTTTAATTGGGTTATTTGTTTTGTTGCTATTGAGTTGAATTCCCTATATATTTTGGATATTATCCCCTTATCAGGGGTAGGTTTGAAAATATTTTCTCTCAATCTGTGGGTTGTCTCCTCTTTCTATTGATTGTTTCCTTTGCTGTGAGGAAGCTTTTTAGTGTGATGTAATCCCATTTGTTTATTTTTGCTTTTGTTGCCTGTGATTTTGGAGTCCTATCCAAGAAGTCATTGCCCAGACTAATGTCATGGAGATTTTATCCTATGTTTTATTCTAGTAACTTTACAGTTTCAGGTCTTAAGTTTAAGTTTTTATTAATTTAAGTTGATTTCTGTATATATGTGGTGTGAGATAAAGGTCCAATTCTAGCCATTCTAACAGATGTGAGGTAATATCTCATTGTCATTGTAATTTGAATTTCCCTGATGATTACTGATGTTGAGCAAATTTTCATATACCTGTTGGATATTTGTGTCTTATTTGGATAAATGTCTATTCAGATCCTTTGTGCATTTTTAATTGGGTTATTTGTTTTGTTGCTATTGAGTTGAATTCCCTATATATTTTGGATATTATCCCCTTATCAGGGGTAGGTTTGAAAATATTTTCTCTCAATCTGTGGGTTGTCTCCTCTTTCTATTGATTGTTTCCTTTGCTGTGAGGAAGCTTTTTAGTGTGATGTAATCCCATTTGTTTATTTTTGCTTTTGTTGCCTGTGATTTTGGAGTCCTATCCAAGAAATCATTGCCCAGACTAATGTCATGGAGATTTTATCCTATGTTTTATTCTAGTAACTTTACAGTTTCAGGTCTTAAGTTTAAGTTTTTATTAATTTAAGTTGATTTCTGTATATATGTGGTGTGAGATAAAGGTCCAATTCCATTTTTTTTTTTTTTTTTCCTTTGGATATCCTGTTTTCCCAGCACCGTTTGTTTCCCCATTGTGTGCTCTTGACACTTTTGTCAAAAATCTTTTGCCTTTGGATGTCCTGTTTTCCCAGCACCGTTTGTTTCCCCATTGTGTGCTCTTGACACTTTTGTCAAAAATCAATTAATCATGAATACTGGGATTTACTTCTGGGCTTTTCTTGTTGCATTGGTCAATGTGTCTGTTTTTATGTCAGTACTATGCTATTTTGATTACAATAGCTTTATAGTATATTTTTACATCAGGAAGTGTGATGCCACCAGTTTTGGTCTTTTGCTCAGGATTGCTCTGGCTATTCAGGGTGTTTTCTGGTTCCATATAAATTTTAGGATTGTTTTGTCTATTTATATGGAAAAATTAAACTGGAATTTTGATTGGGATTGCATTGGGTAGTATGAACATTTTAACAATATTAATTTTTCCAATCCATGAACATGGGATATCTTTTCATTTATTTGTGTCTTCTTCAATTTCTTTCATCAACGTTCTATAGTTTTCAGTTTAAGATCTTTTACCTCCTTGATTAAATTTGCTCCTAAGTAGTTTTTGATGCCATTGTAAATAGGATTTTTAAAAATTTCTCTTCCAGATAGTTTATTGTTAGTGTATGGAAATGCTATTGGTTTTTGTGTGTTGTTTCTGTAATCTGAAACTTCACTGTATATGTGTATCAGTTCTAGCAGTATTTTGGTGGAGTACTTAGGGCTTTCTACGTATAAGATCATATCATCCAGAAGCAGATAATTTCCCTTCTTCCTTTCCAATATGGATGCCTTTTATTTCTTTTTCTTACCCTAATTGCTCTCACTAGGATTTCCAGTACTATGCTGAATAGAAGTGGCAAGAATGGGAATCCTTGTTTCTGATCATAGAGGAAAAGCTTTCAACTTTTCACCATTGAGTATAATGTTAGCTGTAGGCTTGTCACATATGGCCTTTATTATGTTGAGGTACATTTCTTCTACATCTACTTTTTTGGAAGTTTTTACTGACTGTGTGTTGAAAGTTGTCGAATGCTTTTCATGCATTTATTGAGATGATCATGTGGTTTTTGTCCTTTATTTTGTTATTATGGTGTAACACATTTATTGATTTATGTATGTTGAACCATCCTTGCATCCCTGAGATGAATCCCACTTAATCATGGTGAATGATCTTTTTAATGTGCTGTTTAATTTGGTTTGCTAGTATTTTGTTGAGGATTTTTGCATATGTGTGCATCAGGGATATTGTTTCTTTTGTTATTGTTTTTTTGTCTGGCTTTGGTATCAGGGTAACTGCTAATGCTGGCCTCATAAAATGAGTTTGGAAGGATTCCCTCCTCTTCAATTTTTTGGGAGAGTTTGAGAAGACATAGTATTAGTTCTCCTTTAAATGGTTGGTAGAATTCAGCAGTGAAGCCATCAGGTCTTGGGCTTTTGTTTGATGGGGACTTCTTATTACTGATTCTATCTCCTTACTCATTATTGATGTCTTCAGATTTTCTATTCCTTCCTGATTCAGTATTTTTTTCTTTGCTGCCCTAGCTAATGGCTTGTTGATTTTATTTATCTTTTAAAAAACCCAACTTTTAGTTTTGTTGATCTTTTCTAATGTTTTTCTAATCTCTATTTTGTTTATTTCTACTCTGATATTTGCTATTTCTTTTTTTTCTGCTAAGTTTGGGCTAACTTTGTTCTTTTTCTAGTTCCTTGAGGTATAATGTTACATTGTTTATTTGAGATCTTCCTTCTTTTTAAAGTAGGCATTTATTGCTTTAAACTTCTCTCTCCGGACTTTTTTTGTTGTATCCCATAAATTTTGGTATATTGTGTTTCAATTTTCATTTATCTCAAGATATTTTTAAATTTCTTCTTTGACTTCTTAGCTGTACAGGAGCATGATGTTTAATTTTCATATATTTGGGAGTTTTCCAAGATTTCTCCTGTTATTGATAACCAGTTTTATGTCATCATGGTCAGAAAAAATTCTTGATATGGTTTTAGTCTTCTTAAACTTGTTAAAACTTGTTTTGTGGCAAAATATATGACCTATTCTGGAGACTATTCCATATGCATTCGAGAAGAATGAGCATTCAGTTACTGTTAGGTGGAATTTTCTCTATATATCTGTTAAGTTTATTTGGAAAAAAGTGTAGTTCATGTCCAATATTTCCTTATGATTTTCTGTCTAGATAATATGTCCATGTTGGAAAAATAGTTACAAAGCCTCCTACTATTATTGTATTGCAGTCTATATCTCCCTTAATATCTATTAATATTTGCTTTAAATATTTAGGTGCTCCAATATTGCATGCATATATATTTACAATTGTTATAACTTCTTGACGAATTGACCACTTTGTCATTATATAATAAACATCTTTGTCTCTTTTTTCAGCTGTTGATTTAAAGTCTACATGGTCTGATATAACTATAGTTACCCC